CAAGCGTTCACAGGCCCATGAGTCGAGCCGAAGCATCAGTATAAATCTGTCATCCGATGCATTACATACAATTTCTATGCAGATTCGGTACTGTGTTGAGAAAAGATGGCAATATTTTGTTGTATGATCAAATTTGATTTTTAATCATGGCCGACCGCTTGGTTATCTCCCATTGCCAAAACTTTACCAAAATGGTGGCAGTCAATCAGTTACAATCATGCATAAGTACCCTACTTCTACCATACAGCGGTTAAAGAACAAATTATGAGCGTGATGCGTGCGCGGCTCCACTGTGTCATAGACAGGTTATGCAATAAAACAAATAAATCTGTGGATGGTGTTCTCCTACGCTAAATTAAGATGTTGACCAAATACGCATTGTGCTAAATTGCATGAAGAAACTGGAAGTTGAAAAATTGGGTCTTCATTAAACAAACGATTGCTGAATTGATTGTAGCATCAGGAGCTGAGATGAGGATTTAATTGAATTTGCATAAATACTTACCTGACTACAGCATTCTGGGTAATATTTAATGCAGAGAGTCTAAGCGATGGCTTAGAAGTACAACCCAATTTGATGCACGAAGTGATTTTCAACAGCCAATGATGCTGCTTTTATGTTTGCCTGTTATAGCCAACACCTTGTGATATCTGTTTGAGCTGAAAATGCCAGGACTATACAATTTTCTATGAGGCCTTTATATCATTCAGTTTTCAGTTACTGATCCAAACTCTAATACGGGAAGAGAGGATATCTATATCAGAATCAGTTGAACAATTATGCATTTATAAATTTTCAACGTAATTTCGCTAATGTTCATCAAAACCGTTATCGTTTAGAAATGACAGCTATGGCAGAAAACAGAATCTATTTTGAAATAGAATATTCGGAAGAGAAAAAGGAACAACTGAAGGACCATTTGTATTTCCAAGCGCTGTCTTCGGCAATGGCGCTCGTTTCATCGACCTATCTTAAGCAGTTTTCGACTTCCAACAGCATCGGCCAACTGAGCGAGTGTACCTCTAAAGCAAACGACGTCTTTCGGTACGCTGAATGTTTGGAGCCCGTTCTTCGCGTGGCCGGAAACAAACCACCAAACAACGATGAGAGTGCATTTGTGCAGTTTTCACGAAATGCATGGAAAACTCCGAGATCAATCAGGACGCACGATTATACGGTGAAACTTAACTTTCT